TAGCTGACGCGGTTTAAGAGCCTTGGAAGAGCAGAGGGCGACGGGCTTTTAGACGAGCTAACCCACCAGACCACATAGAGGTAAGTGAAGGGTTGAACGACGCGTTGTTGTGGTTTATGTACGCGATTGATGATCCATTGATGTGGTGCCACGTTTCTCCGGCGCAGTCATCCCGCACGACTCCGCTTTCAAGTCGCCGTCCCACTCCTTCTGAGTTCTCCCATAAACCCTTCGCTCGTCATCGACACTCCTTGCCAGTTTATACTACCTCCTACACCCTCTAATCCCCATAAATATCCGCTACTAGCCGACTCATAACCCTCACAAAACCCTCACAAAAACAAAACAGAATGGGCACGACACAAAGCACCCTCAGCTCCCCGGAAACGCTCCTCACAGCCGCGGCGCTCGTCGTCGGCGGGGCCGTCGCTGTTGGGTACACCGTCTCCGCGTCTTCCTCTTCCGCGTCTCCTTCGTCGGCGGGCGAGAAGGGTAACTTGAAGAGCAAGAAGAAGAAAAGCGGCGCGAAAGCTGGGAAGGACAACGGCGCGGTGGGGTTTCTGCCCGTGCCCGTTCCTAACTCAACGTCCCCCGACGCTCCATCTGTGGCGTCGACACCCGCCCAGCCGAAGAAATCAAAACGCAAGGACCTCAACAAATCCTCGCCAGCCGATTCGACCACCCCGCCCGCCACGGCACCTATACCATCCTCTTCCCTCCCCGGTACATTTGCCGACGACGCCGACGCCGACGCCTTAGAAAGTCAGCAGAAAACGAAGGTGAAGGCGCATTCGAAGAAACGGAGGAACGGGGGTGCTGCTGCGTCCACTCCCACCGGTTCTACTACGGCGGCGGCGGCGGGCGAGGCAGGGACTCCGACGCCGCCTGCCTCCGTACCTGCCGCTGTCTCTGTCTCTGCGTCTACGGCGGGTAAGAAGAGGTCTAAGGGCAAGAAGAAGTCTTCTGCCTCTTCTTCTGCGGCTGCTCCCCCCTCTGCCGCGGGGGGGGAGAGCACGGACGACGGGTGGACGCGCGTCGGGCCTGGGCGAGGGGGCGATACGACGAGCACGAGCGCGAGTCAGCCGCCGAGTCTCAGTGTCACTGAGGAGGAGGAGGAAGCTGCTGGGGTAGGAGGAGATGAGGAAGACGAGGAAGAGGCGGAGGAGATTCCGTTGCCCGGTATGCGCGTTCCTGCTAAGGGTAACGGAGGAGGAGGAGGGAATGCAGGAGGGGTTAGGGATCGGCCGCCGAAGAGACCACTGGCGGAGAGGTTGTTGCCGAAGGCGAGGAAGACGGGGGTGGATGAGTGAGTGCTGCTTCCTCGTTTTCCTTTTTCCGTCGTTTCTTCTCCCTTTGTTTCCCTTCCTTTCTCCCTCTCCCGCCCAAGTGTGACTTATGGGCTCTCTTCGTCCTTCTCTTCTTTCTCTCGACTGAGCTCCCGAGCTGCCTTTCCCTCACTGGCTCGCGTACCCGCGGTCGATGCCTTAGGCCTTTTTACCTTTCCTTGTCTCCATTTCTTCTTCGTTCTTCGTCTTCGTTCTTTCGATGACCTTTCCTTTTCCTCGTTCGTTTCGCGTCTCTCTCTATGTCCACGACGGACGCGAGCGGGGAGGCTGCGAGTTTGGACTTCGTGCAGTGCATGTCCGTCGTCGACGCACCGCAGATACCCAAATGGGGGGTTTTTTTTTTCGTCGCGGTGCCACGTCACTCAGCTGGGGTTTCTTTCAATCTTTCTTTCTTGCCCTGTGTGTTCTTCTTTAGGCTCTTTCCTGGTATGCGCATTCGCATTCGCATTGGGTGCTGCTACTCTACCTAAGCATGGGTACTTGGCGTGGGCTTGCCCGCCTTGACAATCGTCTCTGGGTGTACCCCGCCTGCTGTTTCGGTAGAAACAAGGACGGTTGCGGTGGTGCGCATCGGGAGGTACGGATGGGGATCGTCTTCATCTTTCTTCAAGGCCGGACGATGAAGGTGGTACGGTATCCGGTACCCATGTACCTCCTACCTACCCTTGTCCTTGACGGTGGAGGACGAAGATGTTGCTGTCGATGGTCTATTGGCTCCGCCTCGCTTTCTCCTCGTCAAGTCGTCTCCTGCATTCGCCTTTTATCTTATCTCATTTGACATCGATTACCTCTCTCTTGTTTTACATTTTATTTCCTCCTCTCCTCCCACTCTTCCTTTCCTCTACGCCTTTCTGGTCCTCTGGGCGTTTCCTGGTGCTGTTATTTTCTTTCTCCTCCTTCACTTTCTCCTCCCTTTCTCCCTCTCTCTCCTTCGCCATATCCTTCCACTACTTGCTTCTTCCTCCAGCGTGCTTTCCTCGCCCGCCTCGCCGTCTTTGTACCTTCGCTCGCTGGCTACGATGACGTGGATCGTTGCTATTGGGGGTGGGTCGAGTCAGCGGTATGGGGAGATTCGGGTGAGGTCATCTCTTTCAGAGGCCAGCGCTGGGGGTAGGCGTGCCCGGACTGCACTTACATTCTACGTCCCTTCGTCATTCACCGACGTGTCGACGGTTCCTCCTCTCCGCTGGTCGTCAAGTCGCTTTTTTATGCGTCCATACATACATCCATTTTTGGCGTCTTCTTGCTTGCCCCTTCCCTCATCTCTCCCTGCCTTTCTTAACTTTCGTTCTTTCCTCTCCTCTCCTCTCCTCTCCTCTCCTCTCCTCGTCTTGCCGTCCTTTCTTCCTCTTCTCCTCCTTCTTTCGCTTTTCCTCTTCTCCTTCTTTCACTCCTCCACTACCTTACTAACCTTCTACTCTATCTCCAGCATGCTCCCCGCCTCCTCCCCAGACTACCCCGCCCTCGCGCGCGTCATGCGCGTCGTCCCCGGGTCTTCATCTTCTACCCCCGGTCGTCAGCAACAAGACGAAGATACAGACGACGCTGAAACATCGGGACACGACGACCCCCTCACAGACGCGGAGGTGCAAGCGGCATTGAGGGCGGCGGACGAGGCGGACGAGATGGAGCGCCGGGGAGGGGTGAGTGGTGGGGAAGGCGGTGAGGAGCGGGAGGAGGAGGGAGAGTGGGGGTTCGTGCCTGTTAGGCGGAAGGGGGCTGGTGAGTTGTGTGTTTTTTAGGTTTCGTTTCTCTGCGTTCTCGTTCTTGGGGTGTCGAGGGTGTACGTGGCGGCGGGGTTGGTCGTCGTTGGTAACTGGCCGCGCTTTCTTGTTTCTTTCTCCGCTGCGTGCCTCGACGATGGCGGACCGCGTTGTTGGGGACGTTTTGGCGAGGCTGAAGGGGATGTCTGTCTATCAGCATTCCCGTCGCGCGTCGTCCGTGGATCGGGGCATACGAGTAGATGTCGGTGTTTTGGGGGATGCATATGCCTTCAATTGAGCTAGGAACGGGGACAAGGAGGAGGTCGATACTGGTATCAATAACGCGGGACGCGGGTGTTTTGGCGTTTGCGTAGGGATGGATGACTGATTGAGGAGGGATGGGTGTCATCTCAGGGTATTTTGGTCGGAGGAGACGAGATAACGCGAGACGAGACGCGACACCCCGGCGTGCGTGCGCGTAGGGCCACCGTATCGTGTCGTATGGTGATATGGTTGGGATTGTGGCCTTGAGGCAGGATGTGAGGGGCGGGTCAAGGTGGCGGGGATATCCCGACGATGAATCGCTGGGGTCTGTGCTCGTGACACGGGCTGGGATTGCCGTACTTTCGTGCTCGCTGTTGCCTGCGGCTATGCGCTTGGGACGAGCATGTTTCTTCGTTGTCGACTATCGGGGACGATATACGCACGCCGCCTGAGTACCAGCGTCTTAACGGGCGATGGGCTGGGCCTATCGTGCTTTCGTGCATCCACGAGCCGGGAATGAGGGTGTTCCTTCGTTACATGCACGCCGTTTGACACGAGCGTGTCAACGAGCGGGATCGCAGTGTATCGCCTGCGAGGCCGTATCTTCCTCCTTGCTTCGTTGAGCGTTGCTGTCATCGTCTCGTCCTCGCCCTCGAGCTATCTCTCTTTCTTCCTCTCCCAGCCCTTTATCGTGACACCAATTACTGACTCTTCTTCTTCAGCTCAATCACGTCCCGCAGGCGCCTCGTCTTCCTTCAGCAGTAGCACACCTTCAGGTGGGTTGTCCTCCTCCTCCTCCCCTCTCTTCTCCTCCTCTCTCCTCTTTTCTTTCTCTTCTCCTCAATTGCTCTTCTTCCTGACTCACTAACACTGCTGCTCTAGGCTCCGGCACCGGCGCGCAGTCGAAGAAAAACGCCAAGAAGCGGGAGGCGGCGAAAGCTGCCAAGGCGGCGCAGGAGGAGGCGCAAAAGGCTGCGTTGAAGGCGCATCGGAGGGGGCTGGAGGCGGAGAGGATGAAGGGTGAGTGGTTTATCTATACTTTGAGCTGAGGTGGGCTAGTCAGTCGGACGGGGGTTGTGCGCGCGTATCGAGCGACGGCGGCTCTGGATTCGCAGGGATAGACGAGTGTCTCCTCGCCTTGCCTCGTCCCTCGTATCCACCATCATCTGTAGCTCATACGGACGGAGCTTTCCCGCTCACCGTTACCCCGATCCTTCATTCATTCTACTTTGTTTCTTACCGCCACTAACCCACATACGACAGCCCAATCACAGGCCGCCAGCAAGGCGTCTAATAACAACAAAGTCGGCGGGGGGATGACGGCGAGCGTGGATGCGGGTGGGAGGTTGGTTTGGGATTGACCGGGTCCGGCGGGCGAGGAGGATTCACTGAATCCTGCGTCCGTACCGAGTCCCCGGATATGGAGGCGGAGGAATGAAAGCCAAAGAAAATCACTCAGTTATTACATATCGATAAGTACTCTACCTTATTTTAGTTTTTCTTTCAGTCACCACCGTTCTCTTCTTGCATTTTTTCATTCTCTCGTCTTTGGCATGTTTATTTGGATACATATCTACACTCCTACATATTCGTCGAATCTTCGCTTTGAATTTGGAGAAATCGCTCACTCACATCGCGTGGCTGGGCTCGACTTCCTCCTGCGGTTGAGTTGGTGGGTTTCCGACATGGCCGCCTGGCGAAATGGCATCGCGTCTGACTACGATCTGGAAGTGGGCAATGGTAATCAGGAGATTGCAGGTTCGACCCCTGCGGTGGTCATGTGGCTTACAGTAATGCCCTTTTTGGTGTCTCCCTATCGAGACACAGAGTTTTTGATACTGTTCCTTCACGCATTCGATCTCATTTGGAAATTTATGCTGAGCAAGTCCCAAGAAAGCAAACCCATGCTATTTATGATACAAATGCAAATGCGGTCGACTCGAAATTTGTGCTTTGTGTGTTATGTACAGGTATGTACTCGTATATGAATAGGAAGATAGTAAAGAGCGTGCTGTGACGATGGTAGAGTAGAGTAGAATAGAATAGAATAGCGAGTGGTCTAAGTTAACGATTTGTACGAAGGAAGCGGTGGTGGTATGTATGATTCGGAATTATCGTGGGAGACGGATTGTAATGTACGGCAAGAGCGACGAGAGGATGCGGGTGGCGGGATGCTGGATGGGATATGTGCGAGCGAGACAAAGAGATGATGTGCAGATACAAAGCAAAGCAATGCGACGTGGAGCGAGTGAGCGATGGTTAAGGGTGGGGTAAGATAGATAGATAGATAGGATAGATAGCAGGCGGTGGTAGTGGTAGGATCGTCATAGACGATAGATGATGGAGGAAGCGAAACACTGCTGGACGAAACGAACGAAAGAGTCAAGGAAACTCACCCCCGTCCCCGCGTTGTCGGCGGTGTACCGCGCCACGCCCACGCGCTGCCTTCGCTAGCACTCGTGGAGCGGTATCTGGACCCTGGCTGGGGTTCGCGAGATTGTCCGGCATCGAGCAGCCCTCGTCCGCCGCTCATGCGATGTGAAGAAGCAGACGGGTCGGCGGAGGTGGATGTCGTCGACGATTCAGCGACAGAGATCGTATGTATCGGGGGAAGGGTGACCGCCACAGTCGAAGAACTCGCACTCGTCAAAGCATCCCCTCCTCCTCGACGAGGACTGCCACTACGTGCTTCGATTTCGCCCGTCGCGCGGCGTTGCGGATGCGGGTGCTGCGGGCGGTGCGTACTAGTAGCCGGCGGAGAGGAGGCGCGAGCGCGCGGGGGGTGCGGGCGGTGTGGTGAGGGAGGAGATGCAGAAGGCGATATCGGTGGTGGTGCCGCTGCTGCACCGCCCTCGGGGGAGCGCGAACGACGACGGGGTGGAGAGCGGGAAGAGGAAGCCAGGGCGCGCGATGCCGGGAACGCAGACGTGCGCCCTGGAGCGCCTGCGCGTAAGGATTTTTTGACGGGTCTGGGGATTCGCTTCTTCCTCCTTCGTGTGCATCTTCTATCTCGCGTTTGCGTTTGCTGTTGTTCTTGAGGTCGACGCTGACGCTGAGCTCGGGACGGACAAGGCGGGTGGCGGTTACGGCGCCTCCTTCCCCTCCCCCTCCACCGCCGCCGTGATATGCTGGGATGTAGTTTGAAGGGATTGACGAGGGGATGGAGAGCGTCGTAGGCGTCGCCGACGAGGCGGAGGAGGTGAAGGAAGAGAGGGAGCCAGCGCTTGTGCGGCCACCGGTTGAGGGGGCGAGAGAGGAGGAGGATGCGGAGGAGTAGGTGCCCATGCCCATGCCGCCTTGACCTTGCACTTGACCTTGACCTTGACTTGGACCTTGACCTTGAGATCCGCCGCCGCCAGCGTTCCCATGACCCGAATATGTTGTTGTCGTTCCTGCTACCGAGGGAGATTGGAACGAAGGCGAGGAGGAGGAGGGAGGGTGGAATGCGTCTCCTCCGCTTCCGCTGACCCACGAGCCGTGGGCTAGCGATGTCTCCGGGTTGGTAGAGATGCTCCCCGTGCGGCGAGCGCGAGTTTGGATTGGGGAAGCAGAGCCAGAGACGGAGCGAGGTGTGAATGGCGCGGAGCTCGATCCTGGTTGCTGCTGCTGTTGCTGGGTGTATTGAGGGAGGGAGCCGCTGCTGCGGTGATGCAGGACGGGCGAGATCGTAGGAGCAGCAGCAGAGGTAGAAGTCGTAGGCGAGAAGCTGGGACGGCGGGCATGCGTCACGTTGGGGGAGAAGCTGGATGAATGAGGGTGTTGCTGCTGCAGGTGAGGCGAATGCGTGGGTTGGTGAAGATGCAGCGATGGTGGGATGCCGCCCGAGGACGATGAGGGACCGGGGAACGATGACGCGCTCGGAGAGGCGAAGGATTGGGTGCCGCCCTGGGCAAAGGATTGTGGTATAGGAGCGGTGAACGGCTGGGGGGCGTACGGCGAGTGCGGGGAATGTCGGGGATCGAAAGGTTGTGGCGGGGCGATGAAAGGAGGTGGGTATGCCGTTGCGGGGAGGAGATGTGGGGGGAGGGGATGCGATGCGAGGACGTGGGGTGGAAGGCGATAGACGTAGTCTTCGAAGGCGTGGATGCGGGAGCGAAGGGCGTCTTCTAGCATGTCGACGCGTCTGTGGAGAGCGTCGTATTCGGCTCGGGGAACGTATTTCTCTGTACTGGGGAAGAGCGTCAGTATTTTCGTTATGATTTGGCCGAAAATACAATGAATAAGCGCGATGGGATTGAGAAATAGCAGCTAGCGAACAAATCGCTGGAATATAATCTAAGAAACGACGTCCGAGAGGATTTCTCAGAACGAATGACGTGGAGAAGAGCGAGCGCCAGTACTTGCGTTAGGATTTGGAAGAAAAGAGATTAGAAGACAATCAAGTAACACGACGAGAAGGTCAGCAATCGAATCTCTGAGATATAATCAAAGAAACAACGACCGAGAGACTCTCTCGGAACGAATAATGACGAAAACTGAAAACACGAAAATGCGACACTCACGCAGGCTCAACGACATTCCACTGGCACTTCGCCTGGTCCCCCCTCCTAACACAAGGTGCACACGGCTGCGTCCTATAAGCAACAACAATTCACCAAAACACGTCAGTCATTCGGAAAAGGATCAAATAGATAGATGGATGGATGGGATTCACCTGTCGCACCGGATCTTCCGCCGCTTGCACTCTAGCACCACCGTCCCGAGATGAAGATGAGATGAATGCCAACGTCGTCGAGTTCGGAGTAGACGCACCGGTACAGCTCAACGCCTGTCTGCGGCGTTTCTTCTTCGGTGGCTCTGCGTCACCCGAGGGGTCGCGCTCGTCTGCGTCCGAGTCGGCGTAAGAGGACGGGGGGTAGCCTGGGTGTGCGCTGAACGTCATCATAGGCATAGACATAGTCGGGGTGGGGAGTGTCGGCGTCGGGAGGGTGGTCGACTCCATCGCAGCGGGCGGCGGGAGGTACGGATGCAGCGTGCGGATGCTCGGCAACTGCGGCCCGGCGGGACGCCCCGGCCGCTGTTGCTGCATGATCACGTCGACGTTTCGCAGCGCGTGAGCGCAGAAACCAAAAAGCGAATTGGGAATTGGGCGCTGGGTTTATATGGGATCTGTGTTAGGGCAGAATCTGTTATGGTTAGTCCGCCCCCCGGGTCATATTCTGTTTGAATCTGAGTGTTTCGTCGACGTCAAATCGGGAAGGACGAGATTATCCCCGCGAGATTCCTTTCTCGGTAACGGTATCTGCTTCCGGCTTCCTTTCCCTGAACCCCCCGATGCTTCCCAATGCCTCAATTCACCGAGTGTCGTAATTTCTGAGCGAGAATGAATCCCGTGCTATCCCCGTTCCGTTCGGGGACTTTTGGGTTTCGGTTATCCTCAATATTTTTCACATCAATGGCTATCAGTCTCCTCGACACCGATCAATATTAACGGCGAAGAAGTTCCAGCGATCCTGAATTTAAAGTAAACAGAGCGTTCTGTGTACATGTTCAATTTTTCTGGAATACTTGCTGGACAGCCTCTATCCCGCAATCGCCGCATCCGGGTAGTTGTGAGAGAGAGGGTTTCATGCGAGTATGCAACGCCGAGTAACTTAATAGAAATAGATGTTTCCGACAGCCCGGCTAGCGTGCAATTTCATCACATCATGATCACCGAGACCTTCAACTCTTTCAAGTCTAATCCGAGCCAAAGAAAAAATCCGAAATTATCTCAGCAAATCCGAGAAGACTGAGTCCGTTGGGAACAATTCTCTCTGAGAACTCGGGTAGAATCTCGGGTAGAATAGATGCGAGAGAAAAACCAGAGAAAACTGAGAGAAAGATGGGAGAGCTCGGGTAGAAAATTGACTCACACGCTGTCGGCGCGTCAGCTCGGAGACGCGACGCGTTTCCTTCTTACCTTTCCCTCACTATGAGTCTCCAGCAACTGCTGGCTGCATAAATCCAGTATCCTTGCTTGTCTGATATCAGTTTTAACAGCTTGACATTCTTACGCATGGCTTGCTTCAAGTTGCTTGGCGCGGCCGCTCATTGAATCGGAGGCGGCCTCCGGACTTGCTTCACTGCGGTCTCCTCGAGCTCCTCGCAGGCACTGTTTCGGAACAAAATCTTCCGTTGGTTCAGACTTGCTGGGCCGCTTTCAAGGAAATTATTTGGAACCACCCAGAAGTGCTACCAACCGAAGAAGAAATTACAAAATACAATGATGCAGCTCTGTGCCGGGTTACCCTGTAAATTAACTTCATTTATGGTCGCACGTACTACTACAAACGCGAACCAGCTGGTTGACCAGACGGTAGACGGATATCTCCGGCAGCGCCTCGTCTCGGCCTTGATGCCGGAAAGGTTCGGGCATGCGCGGGATCAGTTGATTAGCGGATAATTCTACGCGGTTTCTCAGAGAGAATTCTCCCTCCCAGCGGGTTCAGACTTCTGGCAAATCCGTATAGGTGGAGATCGCCTTGTTTGCTGTGCCATACATGACAACAACGGAACCAAAAAATCATATTGAGATGAAATTTCTGAATGTCGATCTTTCTTTTGGTTGGATGGACGATCGAAATGGCAACGGTTCTGTGATCTCTTTTCATGCTTGAATGCTCGATCGAAACAGTTCTCTTGTTTCGCATTCATTCACCCAATCTTTTCGGTTTCTAAGAGAAAGATAGATGAATGTTAGGGTTATTAAGCGATCATGAAGTCAGGTATACGACCGTTCTGCTTTCAATTCTTCTGGAATACTGTCAATGGAATCTGGACATCCCGACACAGTTGAT